TCACAGCTCACAGCAACCTCTAACTCCTGGGCTCAAGCGAGTCTCCTGCTCCACCTCCCAAGTAGCTGGGACTACAGGCGCCTGCCACAATGCCCGGCTATTTTTGGTTGCAGCCGTCACTGTTGTTTGACAGGCCCCGGCTGGATTCGAACGCGTCAGCTCAGGTGTATGTGGCTGGTGCCTTAGCCACTTGAACCACAGGCGCCGAGCCAAAATGGGTTTTCTTAAAGTTGTTTATGACACCCAAAACTAAGTGGTCGAGATAAAAGGTAAAGGCAGTGCCGGCCCTACCTGGACCACATCCTCTGCACAGTGTGGAAGCTGATTTCCTTCCCCTTGCAAAGGCACCCAAGGCCACACTGACGCCCAGCACTCAGATGACGGGTGTGTTTGGGCTCAAAGTGCACACAAATCAAAGAAACCAGATAGGTCAAAGCCTACTTATTTAAATGGTCTCCCCAAGTAAGATAGAGTAGTTTGGACCCCTTTCTTATCCAGGTCTTAGCAGGAAACACGCTTTTGAGAGCAGGGTTCAGTAGAAAGCTGCTTCCTCTCTTGATGAACATGAAAAGGCCCTACAGGGGAGCCTGTACATGACAGTGTCCACTGGGACAACACCAGCACCCAAGCCCACTCCTCTGGCTCCCTCCAGGACAGGAGAAACCAGGGACAAGGACCCCAAAGTACAAAGCCAGGCAGGAGGGCCATCACACCACACCATCTGATCTGGGAGAACATGTAGCCTCTTCTCCCTGGGGCCAGGGAAGGGAGAAAGTGGCAGGTGTGGGATGAAACTGATGTCACTTCTACCTTTTCCTTTTAACCATGGCTATCTTATTCTCTTTTTTAACTGCCAGGTATTTAAGAAGGACTAATTTGGTTAAACGATGCCACACACAGGCTAGAGAGATTTGGCCCTGAAACGAGCCTGGAAACCAATCTACAATATGAACATAAGGGAGAATATAGTTATTCTAGCTCCTTGGGAGCTCAGGGGGAAGGGTCGCTTGAGTCCATGAGTTCAAGGCTACTGTGAGCTATGATGAAGCCTCTGCACTCCAGCCTGGGTGGCAGAGTGAGACCTTGTCTCTTAATAATAATAATTATTGGCTGGGCACAATGGCTCACGCCTGTACTAGCACTCTGAGGCCAAGGTAGGTGATCTCCTGAGTTCACAGGTTTGAGACCAGCCTGAGCCAGAGAGAGATCCCCTCTCTAAAAATAGCTGGGCTTTCTGGTGGGCGCCTGTAGTCCCAGCTACTTGGGAGGCTGAGGCAAGAGAATCACTTAAGCCCAAGAGTTTGAGGTTGCTGTGAGCTGTGATGCCACAACACTCTACTGAGGGTGACAAAATGAGATGCTCTCTCAAAAAAAAAAAAAAAAAAATGAGGCGGCGCCTGTGGCTCAGTGAGTAGGATGCCAGCCCCATATACCAAGGGCAGCATTTGGAAACCGGCCCCAGTCAAACTGCAACAAAACCAAAAAAATCACTGGGCATGGTAGCTCACACCTATAATCCTAGCACACTGGATGGCCAAGGCAGGTGGATTGCTTGAGCTCACCAGTTTGAGACCAGCCTAAGCAAAAGCAAGACCTGGTCTCTACTAAATAAATA